CGTGCAACTACAGCGTCGTACAAGGCCTGAGCGGTCTTGCACTGACTAAAGTGGGCACGCTCGGAGGAAGGGAGGTGGCGACGCACAGCAAGACGTGCAGCAGCATCGCGGGTCGCCCACTTGGAGCGAACGGCGGAATCAGCATCAGGAGGAGGGGCAGGGACAGCGCCAGAGACAAAGTCAAAGAGAGAGACCTCATCGACCGCATCAAACAGTAAGTACAGCTGCAGGTCCTCAATCCAGACTGCAAAGTCAATGGCTCTACCCTCAGCGTCAAAAGCTAGGACATTGGGGGTGGCCATGACAGCAGCTGACAGTCTCACCGGGCAGGAAGAGTCGGGTAGGTCAGCGGCGCAGGTACACAGCCCAGGAGCAGCAGTAGCCCGACAGGAGCAGGAGTGCAGCTCCTCTGGCGGCTCGGGCAGCTCGGGCGGCTCGGGCAGCTCGGGCGGCTCGGGCGGCTCGGGCGGCGCGGGCGGCTTAGGCGGCTCGGGCGGCTCGGGCGGCTCGGGCGGCTCGGGCAGCGCGGGCGGCTCGGGCGGCTCGGGCGGCTCGGGCGGCTCGGGTGGCTAGGGCGGCGCGAGCGGCCCGGGCGGCTGCACGGGCGGCTGGGGCGGCTCGGTGGCGGCTCACGGGCGGCAAGGACGGCGCGCGGGGAGCTCACGGGCGGCTGGGCGGGCGGCCAAGGCGGCTCACGGGCGGCGGCGGCGGCGTCGGCGGCTCACGGGCGACGGCAGCGGCAGCGGCGTCGGCGGCTCACGGGCGGCGTCGGCGGCGTCGGCGGCTCACGGGTGGCGTCGGCGGTGTCGGCGGCTCACGGGCGGCGTCGATGGCGTCGGCTGCTCACGGGCGGCGTCGGCAGATCACGGGCGGGCTGAAGGCCCACGGGTGGGCGGTTCGCGGTCAGCGCCGGCTCACGGGCGGGCGGCGTGACGGGCGGGCGGCGGGACGGGCGGCGGCGTCACGGGCGGCGGCGTCACGGGCGGCAGCGTCACGGGCGGCGGTTCACGGGCGACTGCGTCACGGGCGGCGCTCACGGGCGGCGGCGCACGGGCGGCGCTAAAGGGTGGCGCGACGGGCGGCGGCTCACGGGCGGCGCTACGGGTGGCGGCTCACGGGCGGCGCTACGGGCGGCCGCACGGGCGGCGCTAACGGGCGGCCGCACGGGCGGCGCTACTGGCTGCGCAAAGGGCGGCGCGAACGGGCAGCCGCACGGGCGGCGCTAACGGGCGGCGCGAACGGGCGGCGCTAACGGGCGGCTCGAAAGGGCGGGCGCTAGGGCGGGCGCTAGGGCGGGCGCTAGGGCGGGCGCCAGGGCAGAAAAAAAAGTTCTAGGTGGTGGGCCCGAAGCACAGTTCCCACAGGGGAACCTGCTCTGATTCCATGAGAAGAAGTGAACGAGAGAAATGGGTGAACTATGAACGAAGTGAGTACAAATAGGGAACCCTAACTGGGTTGTACCCCCTATGGGATACCCCACTATAGCCTACATAAATGAGTAAGCTATAATGTTCTGACTAGTCCCTGTGGTAAATCATCCGGAAATATCCCCGGGAACCGTTTCAGTAGTGCCTGTAGTTCGGTCGGTACAGCTGCCAGCAGTTTCTCCAAATCACTCGGCTGCTCATCTTTTTCTACGAGTGCGATATCCACTGCGTACACGTCAGCTCCAGCAGCGACAGCCCGTTTCATCGTGATGGCGTTGACCTGGACCGTCGAAGATTTGGGTGGCTGCCAGCGAGGTAGAACGACCCAGTTACCACTACTTCGCACTGTGCAGCTCCCCGTCGTCCAGTCGATCCGTGGGTTGTACCGTCGCAGCCAATCACGTCCCAATAAAATGTCGTGCCCATCCAGTGTCGTCGCGAGCATTTCCTGTGTAAACTCGAAGTTCCCCCCGCAGCGGACTTTTACGCGCTCCACCTTTTCCCGTATGGCCAGGGGCGTGCCGTCGACTAAGCGTGCATCTATCTCAGGTAAACATCGGTTAACCGTTAACTGTAATTTTCGTGCGGTTGCGGTATTAACTAAGCTGTGGCTTGCTCCTCCGTCAATGAAGATCTTCACTGCTGCTCCCTGTATTTTCCCGTAGATCAGTACCGGGCAATCCGTCGCTGTACCCTCCTTATTCATCCGATCCCGATCGATGGCGTGAATCGGTACTGTGACTCGGTGAGGGTCGGTGTGGTTGGGCGAGCAGGCAGTCTCGTCAGTAGTTGGCCCAACTTCTACTGACTGCTGGCGTTTCCCTGCCTCCGAGACTCCCTCCCCTGCTCTGCTCCTCGACGCCTCAGCTCCTCTGGACATTCGCTCTTGCGATGGCCCGGCCGGTTGCAAGCAAAGCAGCGCCCTCTAAACGGCGCGGCAGCTGCATTCGCTGCGACGGCATGTACAGTGGCGTGCTCGGTCGGTCCCCGAGGACGATGTCCGTAATAGGACCCCGGTCTCGGTCGGCGTAGGATATCGATTTTCTCGGCGAGCGCGAGGATCTCGTTGAAATTCGAGAGCCCGCGTAGCATTATCTCGTGCGAGATGTCCGACTTCAGCCCTCCGACGTAACGGTCCACCCGCTCCGCCTCGTGCATGTAGCCGACCTGTTCGCAAAGTGCGAGAAACCCGCTGGTGTAGTCTTGAACTGACCCAAGCTGGCGCCAAGTGCGCAGTTTCTGACGCGCCGAAATGGAGGCCGCGATCGGCTCAAAGCGCGCCCGAAGCCCTGCGCACCACGCATCCCACGTGCTGTATTGGGCGGTTTCGCAGAACGAACTCCAGGTAACAGCTGGACCCGAGGGCCCTTCCTCGTGCGACGGTGGCTCGTAGGCGCGCGGCGACGTCACAATGACTCGCCACCAGTCCATGGCGGGGCCCCTGAGTAGTGAGACCGCATACCGGATCTTGGCGGCGTCCGACTCGACGTAGTTGGCGTCGAAAAACACATTCATCGTGAAGACCCACGATTGAACTGTCGGGCCGCCGCGTTGGCTTGGGTCGAAGCAGGGCGGGCGTTGCGGCTTGAGTGGCATTGGGGGCATCATGGCGTTCTCGCCACTTGTCGCCGCAAACTCCACGTGCCGACGGGCTTCTCGGGGCTCCCGTGGGCTTAATGCGCTCCTGTTCCCTCCCATGCCGGGCATCGGTTGGGCTGCGCCGTCACTGGCTGCGCCTGAGCGCTGTCCCGTGCTGTTGTGTTGCGTTGTTGTGCCGGATGAGATGACGATGGGCTCCTCCGAATGTGCAGATGCATTGGTTGGTGCGTGTGATGTCGTCGGTGCGTTCACCGTTTACTGTTGACGGGCGGAGTCACGTTCCGCCGTGAGAGTCGCGATTTCGAGCGCCGAATCCTCCAATTGACGCACGAGACGATCGAGTTGCTCCTGCGTCATCGTGGCGAGATTGAAATCGGCCATGGCGGGGGTGTCGGGCAAGCTCAGCGAGAGCCTCGGTCGTGGCCGTGCGTGCTTTCGAGAGAGCACTACGAGCGGCGGTGCTGTGTCGCTGAGAGACGTCTTCCCCCCCCAAAAATTGAGATAGTGGGAAGCGAAGGTGTGGATGCGGTCCGAGATGAGATCGTAGGCTCTGAATACCAAGTGTTACGAGTGCAATTGAGTGAACGAACGAGAATTGCACTATCGAAGCAAGAATACGAATGAGCGAAGGCATGAGCGAACATTATATAGCGAAACTACAGTGGTAACGGTAATGGTCGCGCGACGAGCCTGGGACTGAGGTTGGGAAAGTGTCGAAGCGTAGGCCCGGAGCGCGGGTTACCAGCCGAGCCGTGAGGTCGGGATGCGATGTGCGAAAAGGGCGGGATGATGAATGATGCGATGGTCGCGAGTGGTAACGGTGCTGACTGAGGTGCTACAGTGATGTACGCGTTGAGCAGGGACGCGAAGTAAGGAAAAGGGAATTTCCTTACAACAAATAACCATAGACAAGTATATGCCCATGAACATCACGTATCCGCTTATCGTCGAGCAATACTGCGCGCGCTTGAAACGCGTACGTGACCAGCGGCTCACCAACTTCCGAAGTAAATTCTTGCATGAGGTCCGCTAAACGCGGCTGTGTTTACGCGAGCCGGACACGAACCTCCTGAGGTACGCATGGGGCGTCGACGTACACTATGCAGTGGCTGCCCTTTAATCGCCTCTGACCGGATGCCAGATAGCAAACTCTAGGCAGTGCGCGGAATTCTAGCATCTATGCGCCGTCGCCTGTAACGCTCAAGACAAGCATGGCTGGCAGCGCGACACCGACGCGGTTTCCCTCCAATGCAGCTGCGACGCGTCGCCGCCGCGCCTACCGCCTATCACGCATGTCGCTTGCAATTTCAAAACTTCCGATTTTCTCGCTGCTGCTGATTCTTTCGCCAATCCGTTGCGACGCTCGCCGAGGAGGCGGGCCAAGAGGGCGGCAGCGGCCGGTCGATCCGCTGGCTCCCGGTGGAGCTCAACACGCGCAGGCCGTCGCGCTCTTCAAGGTGCGAGTCGCAGGCCGTCGCTTGTTTAATAACGCGAGCCGCAGGCCGTCGCTTTCTTTAGAATGCCAGCCGCAGGTTGTCGCTCGCGTTGGTGCTTAGCTTCTTTCGAGTGGATTCAGGTAAATTATAGCAATTAGGGTGTCCACATTGGTTCTGCTACCCCTCCTTTCCGCTCCCCTCTGTCCCTGCGTTGGTACTTAGCTTCTTTCGAGTGGATTCAGGTAAATTATAGCAATTAGGGTGTCCACATTGGTTCTGCTACCCCTCCTTTCCGCTCCCCTCTGTCCCCTTTCCCCTTCCGCCTCCGTCTCAGGCATGGTCCTACATGTACGGGCTCGTACCGCGTACAAACTACACCAGCAGCAACTCCGATATAAGCACCGATCGCGCGCACGTCGCGCAACCGCCATTATTCCCCCCCCGAACCCTCCGTCCCCCTCCGGGCTTCGCCTCGAGCGCGTCCGCAAGCCGAGGGTCCGGGGGCGGGCGCGGGGCGCGCGTTCCGCTGGCTCCGCACATGGAGAACTGCGCGGCTCTTTCGCGCGCGCGGGAGGCCGCGGAGATGCGCGGACCCGCGGGGGAGATGCCTGCTTGGGCGCGGCCGTCCAACTGCTCTGATTGGTCGCCGGATCCGCCCTGGGTTAGTGTAGGGGGAGATGGGGGAGGGGGAGGGGAGGAGGAAGGGAGTAGGAGGAGGGGGAGGAGAGAGGGGTGGGGTAGGGGGGAGAAGGAGGGGAAGTTAGTGGGGGAACGTGCGGGATGGGAGGTTAAGGACGGAGAGAGGGGGACTTTAGCGAGTGCTTTTTAACAAATCCCATATTTTTTTAACACATTACTTGGTTAATTACATTCATCCTTGCAGGCCAGGCCTCCTCTCCTCTTTTTTAGCATCTCATTTCCGCTTATTTCCTCACTCTTCCTCATTTCCTATGCCCTTACCCTCCCTTGCATTTCCTCTCACACCCTCTCTCCCTTCCCCCTCTTCCCAGATTCGTGGCACGGATGCGGCCAATCTCGCGATGACACGTGTCGTGCAGACAGACCTTTGGGGGCACCAGTTCCCGCCGCCCGGCTCCTGCTCCTCCGAGAGGGAAGGCGCGAGGAAGCTTCTGGTGGTGGCGTGGCCGCCCGTGCAGGGCTTTGGTATTGGCGCGCAGATGCACATCATGTCTGCCGCTCTCAGCCTCGCTGTGGCCTATGATCGTGTTCTCACTGTGCTGCCTGGGAGCTTTGAACACGCTGCACATGCGGCTTGCAGAGGTGGGTGGGTGGGTGGGTGGGTGGTTGGATGCAAATGCAAAGCATACATGGGCTTTGGCATTGTAGCGCAGATGCACATCATTTCTGCTGCCTTGAGTTTTGCCGTGGCCTACGACAGAGTGGTTACCGTGCTGCCGGAGAGTTTCGAGCATGCTGCACATGCTGCTTGCCGAGGTGAGGCTGTGAGAGTGTGATGCTGTGGACGTGTGCTGCCCCAAACCTTGAAGGCACGGCTTTTCACCATTTGCGCGCAGCTGCACATCATGTCTGCCGCCCTCAGCCTTGCCGTGGCCTATGACCGCATTCTCACTGACCTGCCGGGGAGTTTTGAGCATGCCGCATATGCTTCTCGCAGCATTTGACAAGGTGCGGATGTAGCATGTGACAAGGCGCGGATGTAGCATGTGACAAGGTGCGGATGTAGCATGTGACAAACAAGGCGCGGATGTAGCATGTGACAAGGTGCGGATGTAGCATGTGACAAGGCGCGGATGTAGCATGTGACAAGGCGCGGATGTAGCATGTGGTATGAATCCCCTGGCATTACCGTGAACGTTTCTGGCGTTGGTGCACAGATGCGCATCATGTCTGCCGCCCTCAGCCTTGCCGCGGCATATGACCGTCCGAGTGCTCACTGTCTTACCCGGGAGCTTTGGGCATGCTGCTCATGCGGCTTGCAGAGGTGAGGTGAGGCGGCATGGCAAGGCGCGGCTGTAGCATGTGGCAAGGCGCGGCTGTAGCATGTGGCAAGGCGCGGCTGTAGCATGTGGCAAGGCGCGGCTGTAGCATGTGGCAAGGCGCGGCTGTAGCATGTGGCAAGGCGCGGCTGTAGCATGTGGCCAGGCGCGGCTGTAGCATGTGGCAAGGCGCGGCTGTAGCATGTGGCAAGGCGCGGCTGTAGCATGTGGCAAGGCGCGGCTGTAGCATGTGGCAAGGCGTGGCTGTAGCATGTGGCAAGGCGCGGCTGTAGCATGTGGCAAGGCGCGGCTGTAGCATGTGGCAAGGCGCGGCTGTAGCATGTGGCAAGGCGCGGCTGTAGCATGTGGCAAGGCGCGGCTGTAGCATGTGGCAAGGCGCGGCTGTAGCATGTGGCAAGGCGCGGCTGTAGCATGTGGCAAGGCGCGGCTGTAGCATGTGGCAAGGCGCGGCTGTAGCATGTGGCAAGGCGCGGCTGTAGCATGTGGCAAGGCGCGGCTGTAGCATGTGGCAAGGCGCGGCTGTAGCATGTGGCAAGGCGCGGCTGTAGCATGTGGCAAGGCGCGGCTGTAGCATGTGGCAAGGCGCGGCTGTAGCATGTGGCAAGGCGCGGCTGTAGCATGTGGCAAGGCGCGGCTGTAGCATGTGGCAAGGCGCGGCTGTAGCATGTGGCAAGGCGCGGCTGTAGCATGTGGCAAGGCGCGGCTGTAGCATGTGGCAAGGCGCGGCTGTAGCATGTGGCAAGGCGCGGCTGTAGCATGTGGCAAGGCGCGGCTGTAGCATGTGGCAAGGCGCGGCTGTAGCATGTGGCAAGGCGCGGCTGTAGCATGTGCTGTGATGTGACTCCTCTGCCATCGCGGTAATCTCATGCCCCTTATCCTCCCAATTACTCATCCTCCCCACCCACGCCCCCACCCCTTTCTCCCAGTCACGGGCCACCCCTCCTCGCTCTCCTGCTACTTCCTCCCAATCTCCTCTCTCGAATGCGAGCGGGCAGGCGCAGCAGCCATGGTGGAGAGGCGAGCACAGTACCTCACTCACGCCCCTTTGCCCCCCGATCACCCACCCCTCCCCACTCACCCAACTCTTCTTTTTTCCCAGACACGGGTCACCCCTCCTCGCTCTCCTGCTACTTCCTCCCCATTTCCTCTCTCGAGTGCGAGCGGGCGGGTGCAGCAGCCGTGGCTGAGAAGAGAGCACGGTACGCACCGCGCGACTACCAGGAGATGAAGGTTGCCCTAGCCTCGGACGAGCCTGCTTTTTACATAGCCGCCAACTTCCCCTGGTCACTGCGCTTCAAGTTCCAGGCTGATGCTGCCAGGTAAGGTTGCCCTGCACGCACCGTGCAAGTACGAGGCAATGTAGGGTGCTCTAGAGTCGGACCAGCAAGCTCTCTTCATAGCAGCCAACTCCCCGTAACCTCTGCACCTCAAGTTCCAAGGTGACGCCGCCAGGTAATGTTGCACTGCACGCCCGGGGCAAGTATGAGGAGATGAAGGTTTTTTTTGCTTCAGATCAGTCGAGCCCGCTATTTACATAGCCGCCAACTTCCCCTGGCCTCTGCGCTTCAAGTTCCAGGCTGATGCTGCCAGGTAGGGTTGTTGCCTGCGTGTGAAGGTATGGCTGGTGTACCATCATCATCCCAGGACCCATGTTAGCAGCAAGTGAGCTGGCTCGTTTGGTGCCAGTCACCCAGAGGAAGAGATGCTGCCATGCCATTGGCTCATTGTCTCTCAACCTCACTTGTGAATTTCAAGTTATATATTTCAAGTTATATATTTGAAGTTATATATTTCAAGTTATGTATTTGAAGTTACATGTTTCAAGTTATATATTTTAAGTTATGTATTTCAAGTTATGGGATCTGGCTTCTCCAACAACACTTACTCTTGACAACCTCGCTTTCCCCCGTTTCCCCCTTTTCCTCCATGCACCCCTCCCCCTCCTCCCTCTCTCCCCCCCACCTTCGCTCCCTCCTCAATTTTCCTCTCTCCACCCACCCACTCACCCATCACATCAGTCTCTGGAGTTCTCCCTGGTACGACCGGCCAATCACAGTGCACCACGTGGGAGGCGCTCCTGCCATGTCAGAGGAGCTGCTCAAGGTAACAGACCAATCAAATAACACCGCAAGTCTCAGTGTTCCTGCCTGCTTCTGCCACCGTGTGCCTGCTTCTGCCACCGTGTGCCTGCTTCTGCCACCGTGTGCCTGCTTCTGCCACCGTGTGCCTGCTTCTGCCACCGTGTGCCTGCTTCTGCCACCGTGTACCTGCTTCTGCCACCGTGTGCCTGCTTCTGCCACCGTGTGCCTGCTTCTGCCACCGTGTGCCTACTTCTGCCACCGTGTGCCTGCTTCTGCCACCGTGTGCCTGCTTCTGCCACCGTGTGCCTGCTTCTGCCACCGTGTGCCTACTTCTGCCACCGTGTGCCTGCTTCTGCCACCGTGTGCCTACTTCTGCCACCGTGTGCCTGCTTCTGCCACCGTGTGCCTGCTTCTGCCACCGTGTGCCTACTTCTGCCACCGTGTGCCTGCTTCTGCCACCGTGTGCCTACTTCTGCCACCGTGTGCCTACTTCTGCCACCGTGTGCCTGCTTCTGCCACCGTGTGCCTGCTTCTGCCACCGTGTGCCTGCTTCTGCCACCGTGTGCCTGCTTCTGCCACCGTGTGCCTGCTTCTGCCACCGTGTGCCTGCTTCTGCCACCGTGTGCCTACTTCTGCCACCGTGTGCCTGCTTCTGCCACCGTGTACCTGCTTCTGCCACCGTGTACCTGCTTCTGCCACCGTGTGCCTGCTTCTGCCACCGTGTGCCTGCTTCTGCCACCGTGTGCCTGCTTCTGCCACCGTGTGCCTGCTTCTGCCACCGTGTGCCTGCTTCTGCCACCGTGTGCCTGCTTCTGCCACCGTGTGCCTGCTTCTGCCACCGTGTGCCTGCTTCTGCCACCGTGTGCCTGCTTCTGCCACCGTGTGCCTGCTTCTGCCACCGTGTGCCTGCTTCTGCCACCGTGTGCCTACTTCTGCCACCGTGTGCCTACTTCTGCCACCGTGTGCCTGCTTCTGCCACCGTGTGCCTGCTTCTGCCACCGTGTGCCTGCTTCTGCCACCGTGTGCCTGCTTCTGCCACCGTGTGCCTGCTTCTGCCACCGTGTGCCTGCTTCTGCCACCGTGTGCCTGCTTCTGCCACCGTGTGCCTGCTTCTGCCACCGTGTGCCTGCTTCTGCCACCGTGTGCCTGCTTCTGCCACCGTGTGCCTGCTTCTGCCACCGTGTGCCTGCTTCTGCCACCGTGTGCCTGCTTCTGCCACCGTGTGCCTGCTTCTGCCACCGTGTGCCTGCTTCTGCCACCGTGTGCCTGCTTCTGCCACCGTGTGCCTGCTTCTGCCACCGTGTGCCTACTTCTGCCACCGTGTGCCTGCTTCTGCCACCGTGTGCCTGCTTCTGCCACCGTGTGCCTGCTTCTGCCACCGTGTGCCTGCTTCTGCCACCGTGTGCCTGCTTCTGCCACCGTGTGCCTGCTTCTGCCACCGTGTGCCTGCTTCTGCCACCGTGTGCCTGCTTCTGCCACCGTGTGCCTGCTTCTGCCACCGTGTGCCTGCTTCTGCCACCGTGTGCCTGCTTCTGCCACCGTGTGCCTGCTTCTGCCACCGTGTGCCTACTTCTGCCACCGTGTGCCTGCTTCTGCCACCGTGTGCCTGCTTCTGCCACCGTGTGCCTGCTTCTGCCACCGTGTGCCTGCTTCTGCCACCGTGTGCCTGCTTCTGCCACCGTGTGCCTGCTTCTGCCACCGTGTGCCTGCTTCTGCCACCGTGTGCCTGCTTCTGCCACCGTGTGCCTGCTTCTGCCACCGTGTGCCTGCTTCTGCCACCGTGTGCCTGCTTCTGCCACCGTGTGCCTGCTTCTGCCACCGTGTGCCTGCTTCTGCCACCGTGTGCCTGCTTCTGCCACCGTGTGCCTGCTTCTGCCACCGTGTGCCTGCTTCTGCCACCGTGTGCCTGCTTCTGCCACCGTGTGCCTGCTTCTGCCACCGTGTGCCTGCTTCTGCCACCGTGTGCCTGCTTCTGCCACCGTGTGCCTGCTTCTGCCACCGTGTGCCTGCTTCTGCCACCGTGTGCCTGCTTCTGCCACCGTGTGCCTGCTTCTGCCACCGTGTGCCTGCTTCTGCCACCGTGTGCCTGCTTCTGCCACCGTGTGCCTGCTTCTGCCACCGTGTGCCTGCTTCTGCCACCGTGTGTCTGCTTCTGCCACCGTGTGCCTGCTTCTGCCACCGTGTGTCTGCTTCTGCCACCGTGTGCCTGCTCAAGAAGGCAGGCCCGCAGCAGCAGCGGTGCAAAAGGGACTATAAAGCCGCCTCGATTCTTAGTATGATTTCCGTGTAAAGAAAGGCTTCCTTTGAGGCGTTAGAAGTAAAACAAACGGCAGCATTGGTGGTGAGGGGACTAAGCTACCCCGTTTTGAGGCGCCTCACAAACCTCCCGTGTCCCGCTTCCCCTCAACACCCGTCCGCCATCCACCCATCCACCCATCCGCCCATCGACCCATCCGCCCATCGACCCATCCGCCCATCCACCCCACCAGGTGCACTGGTGGCGAAGCCAGTCGGTGCGCTTCTTCCTGCGCTCCCCCACGGCCTATCTCTGCCATCTCACCAACGCCGCCCGCCACCACACCTACGGCTTCAGAGTCGCCCTCTCCCTCACTGCTGCTGCCGCTGCCAAGTCCGCTGCTCTCGAGATTCTCCGGGGGAGCAGCAGCAGCGGTGCCAGCAGTGCGGTTGGTGGTGGGGGTGGGGGGATGGATGAAGCATGGTTGGGTGCTCTAGCTGATGTGGATGGGGGGGTGGTGACTGATGGTGGTGATGGGGAGGATAGTGATGGTGATGGTGGTGATGATGGTAACAACTCTGGGGAAAACGACAGTCGGGCGGGTGATAACAACGGCAATAGAAGTGCCAACAGCGCCGCCGACAGCAGTAGCAGCAGCAGCAGTGGCGGCAGCAAAAGCAGCGACACACAGCATCCCCTGTCACTCAAGTCATCTCTCGACTCATCTCTCCTAGAGACCTCAATCTGGCCACTCGACCCAGCAGCAGCAGCTAGCGGTCGCCTCTACACCCCTGCTTGCACAACCCTAGCACGGAGGGGTGATGCTGCGGAGGAGGCAGGGGAGGGGGAGGCGGGGCAAGGGGAAGGGCGGCAAGGGGAGGCGGGGCAAGGGGAAGGGCGGCAAGGGGAGGCGGGGGAACGTGGGACCGGGCAGGGGGAGGTGGTATCCTGGGCGGGGTTATCTGAGGAGCCGTACCTGCCGCGGCCGATAGTGAGTGTGCATGTGCGGCAAGGCGACAAGGCGGGGGAGATGCGGCTGCTGCCGCTGCGGGCGTTTGTGGCAGCGGCACAGCACATGAGGAGAAATGCTCCGAATCTGAACCACATCTGGCTCAGCACAGAGATGCAGGTGCGTGGGTGGGTCTGTGAAGAGATCTTTATTTCACTACCTCCCTCTCTTCCTCTCTGTTATCCCTCTCCCACCTTCTCACTCCCTCGCTCTCTGTTACCCTTCTCGTTGCTCCCATGGTGCACCGGCTATGCACCAAGGCCAGGTTGTTTGCTTCTCTGCCTCCCTTTTTTTTCCTCGTGTCCTCCCCTGCCATGCTTCACCACTCCCCCGCCATGCTTCACCACTCCCTCGCCATGCTTCACCACTCCCTCTCCTTTGTTATCCCTTCACCTGTCCCCCAGAGTGAGGTGGGGAGGAGACCAAGGACCAGCACTGGGATTGCAGAACCCAAGGTGACTTTTGAGTCCACTCAAAAGTCACCCGTTCACCTGTCCCTCAGAGTGAGGTGGAGGAGACAAACGACCAGCACTGGGAGTGCAGAACCCAAGGCAGCAGGGGGTGATGACGGTGCAGGAATGCCAAGCTTCTTGTTTCGCTACCTCCCTCTCTTCCTAGCTTCCTCTGTCACCGCGCTTCCCCACTCTCTACATCGCTCCCTCTCTGTTGCCCCTCTCCCACCTCACTCCCTCTCCCACCTTCCCACGCTCTCCAACCTTCCCACTCCCATTCCATCCCCCTCCCACCTTCCCAGAGCGTGGTAGAGGAGGCTAGGGATTGTGGGATTGGACTTTCCTCTCCACGCAGAAACCAAGGCAGGAGGGGGCGAAGACCATGCACGAATACGAGGCTGTTGAATTCGCTGCTTCCCTGTCTTCCCTCTCCCACCTCCCCACTCCCTTCCCATCTCTCTCCTGTCTTCCCAGAGTGCGGAGGAAGAGGCAAAGGAGCAGCACTGGCATTTATGTAGTCAACTTTGCATCTGGCCTTTCCTTCACTTAGACCCCTCCCCCTTCCACTCTCCCGCCCAGAGTGTGGTTGAAGAAGCAAAGGAGCAGCACCGGGATTGGACGTTTCTGTTCACGCAGAACCCAAGGCAGGAGGGGACAATGACCATGCACGAATACGAGGCTGCTGTGGGTGCAGATGTGCTGGTGGGACTCAGCTTTGTCAACCTCATTATAGCGTCGCAATGCGACTATTTTGTTGGTACACTTGGGTCGAATTGGAATCGGCTTATAGATGAACTTAGGTGTACTAATGGACGATTGTTTAGTGGGTACTTGGCGTTAAACCACGGTCAGTGGAGATGATTTTCTGTATTTTAGTCATCATATTATCATTCATTTCAGAATGGCTGTCATCCTGCATATACCGTAAGATACAGTGCTTGCAACTGATTAAATGCTGCACTGTAGCATCAAAATTGCTTGAAGAGCGTCTCACTGACTCGTTCAACTTTGAATTGCACCTACAGCTACAGTGGTTGCACAATTTACTGCCTAAATCAACTCCTATACAGTAAACTACAATCCATAGGGCATGCTCTACAATAAACATATCTACACAAGGACCCCCCTCATCTCGCGCCCTCCATCCACTCATCCTTCCATTTCAGCTCCTCTCTCAACTTCCCCTCCATCCACAACAATTCTCCCTTACTCTTCTCCCTCGCCGCTCTCTTCATCCCCAAGACTCCCCTCTTCCTCCTCTTCGCCTTCCTCCTATTTCAATTCCTCCTCTTCGTCTTCCTCTTTCAATTCCTCCTCTTCGGCTTCCTCCTCTTTCAATCCCTCCTCTTCCTCTTCCTCCTCTTCCTCTTCCTCCTCGTCCTCTTCCTCCTCTTCCTCCTCTCTCCCTCTATTCCCACTTTCCTCTTCTTCCACTTCTCTCCCCGAATGCCCCTCCTCCACCTCCTCTTCCATCGCCCCAAAACTTTCCCCTTCCATGCTTTCTTCCAAGCTCCCCTCCCCCGTCAAGCCTGATCCTTGAGACGAAAGAATCTGTTCGTCTACAACTAATTCTTCTGACGTACAATCAAAAGTATGTTCGCCTGAGATTGATCCACCAAGTTTTGCTGATACGGCTACCATCGCTCCCTCCCCTTCAACTTCACCCGTCAGCCGTTCTTCCTCCCCTGGACCTTCCTCCACCTGCGTCCCCCCATGCGAATCAGCTTGCGACACGTGTCCTCTCCAGAGTGCCAGCTCAGCTTCTAAAACCCTAACCTCCTCCTGTTTCTGTTCCAGCATTTCTCTTAAAACTGCTACCTCCTCCTCTTGCCTCTCTAAAATGTCCCTCATCAATCCCATCTCTTCCTTATCAGATGACACCTTCTGCTCCAAAATCCGCTCTCTCTGGGCGGCACTGCTGGCCGCGCGCTGGGCGGCAGCTTTGTCCTGTTGCAGCTGGTGAATCAAATCCATGCTCGCCTGGGCGGCGCTGTCTGCTGCCGCCCGCTCCTGCTCCACCTCGCGCCGCAGAGAATCAGAAAGCTCCATTTCGCGCTCTAAGGCGCTTCGGAGGACAGTCAAATCGTCCTCTTGCCTCTCCTCACCCTCCTCCATTTCCTCCTCCGCTTCCTCCTTTTCCTCCTTCTCCCCATCCCCTTCCCCCTCCCCTTCCCCCTCCCCTTCCCCCTCCCCTTCCCCCTCCTCTTCCCCCTCCCCTTCCCCCTCCTGCTCCTTACGTACAGGCGAATAATAATCAAAAGAGGTTCCGGACGACGCTGGTACCGAGGCTCGATGGCAGGATCGGCGCGAGGGCCGGCGGGAGGGTGCGCGAGACGAGAGGGAGGGCGGGCAGGACGGGGCATGGGGAAGGCTGTGATTGCGAGAGGGCATGCCGGACGAGATATGGGGATGGTTGCTGTCGTGGGAGCGTAGATACCATGCATGTGACCTCATTTCGTGGCTCGCCCTGGTCTCGTGGCTCTTATAACGAGTTGACACCTTCTCTAAGCTATTGTGACTGTATGGAGTGTCCGACGGGCGGTCGTGACTGTACGGGGGAGTCGCGTCGCGCAAATCTGGGAGGAAGAGGAGCTGCTGAGCCGCGCAAGGCGACCAATCCCAAGATTCCTCAACCACCGCGCTTCCAACCACGCGGTCCGCCGACTTTGACAACATCACCATTCCTCCTCGCGTCGCCTCCTCATCATCCTCCTCCTCAGCCTCCTCCTCCTCCTTCACCCTTCCCTTCCTAAGCTCCACACTCACAACTTCCTTATTCTCGTCCTCCCCTGAATGCTCCCCCCACGTATCCCACCCCGCCTTCTCCTTACCACACGCCTCTTCCGCCTCCATTTCCCCCTTATAGTGTGCCTCACTCGCAACCAAGTTACGCACTCGTCTCCCCCAACTACCATTCTTGCGATGCCTGTGGTCTCTCCTTCCCTTCTCTCCTTCCCCCTCACCTTCCGCCAAAACGCGTCCCGACCTCCCCCTTTCAACTCCCCTTTCGCCAGCATCCCGGACCCTTCGTATTCCCCTTCCCCCAAGTCCCAGTCTCCGCCTTTCCTGCCCCTGACAGTTCAGCAGTACGCGATATAAGGCCGCCTCCGCCATATTGCGGCAGGCCATCTTAGCGCGCCGGGACCGCAGCCCGCCAACGGCTATCCATTTCTTAACCGCTCCTACTGTCGCGTTCTCTTGCAATGATGGTCGTGACACTAACGAAGGTGGCAATAGCGAGTGTGAGCGGCGGCGAATTATCCAATGGCTGGTCTGAACCTTCCGCTGGCTTAAAGCTGGCGGCAAATCCAAGTTCGGAAACTGGGAAACTGACGTGGAAGGTTCGGCAACAGGAGAATCTGTCGAGCTGACGTGGAAGGCTTCAGGAGCTGACCTGACGTTGCAAGCGCCACGACACGTGGCCGAATGACACGTGGCTGAATGACATGACGGCAAATGAGCTGCACGGAAAATCAGCGCGGCTGCGAAACCAAGAAGAGCTCTGGCGAAAACGAAGGCGACGAAGACCAGGTTACGCAGTTCCCTGATGACAGGATGAGCTGACTCGTGGAGGACCGTGGCGAACACAGCCAGGGAGTAGAGAGCGGCGGCCGCCATCTCAGAGAACGAGCCAGCGCAAAAGGCGTCGATGATCAGGGCGGAGGGCAAATGGATGAGCTTTTTGGACAGTAGGAGTGGAGGACAAGTATCAGGGCACAGCGAAGGCCAAGACCAGCGACGCAGCCTCACTATGACGGCCTGGCAAGAAAATATCGAAACTGCGAGCTGGGGGTTCCGGTGGGATGTGCGAATGCGAGGGAGTAGAGTAGAGTGCAGCAACCATAGATGGGTTGGTTGGATGGGTGCATGCTTGCGGGGGATGCGGCGAGGCCATGGCGGCCGACTAGGGAGAGTCGCGAGCATGGCTATGGTAGGTTGGCTGGGAGGGGAGGTGAGGGAAGTAAGGAGGTTTGGGTGACTGGTGAATTATCGAGGTGTGCCGAACCAGATTTGTTGGCTCGGTCAGGGCGTGGCTGATAGTCTGGGCTCGGTCAGGTGTTGTCGTTTGTTGGCTGACTGTTCGGTTGAGTACTCGAATGTTTGCTCAGTCGCGAGCTTTCAACCATGAGGTATGGCGTTCCAGGGGTGCCGCACACGGCTAACACGTGAATCAAAGCTTGTGATGTAGGTTTGGGCCAAGGCATGTGATTTCTGGATGAGTTTTAGGCGTGGTGCTGTGCTGTACATACACATAACCACCCTCCTTTATGAGCTGTTCATGGTGCATGGTGGGGTAGGTGTTGTGCAACAGAATAAGGAACGTGTGAACAGGTTTGGTGGTTGGTGATTGGTGAACCCACAACAGCCGCTGCTGTCAGGTGCCTCAGACTGGAGCCTAGGCCATACCAGGCGAACCAGGAGCTGAGGTCTCGTACAGCTGCCGAACCACACTGTCCTGTCGATGTTGTCGCGTCGCAGGGCTCCTGGGACGCGTTGTGAGGGGGAATCAGGTTTGGCGCCAGCATGGGCCGTTGGCTCTGCGACGATATTGCGACTCCTCACAGCACGGAGGACCGCAGCTCGCGGGAGTAATCCAGACCAGAAGGCGCCGAGGTTTGGATGGAATCCGAGCCCTGATTGTGGATGTGGCTGTCTTCCGAGCTTACACCGACACTTCAACCACCATTATAGGTTGGCCGTTACAGCCGCGGAAAGCCAGACCTCCGTAGCAGCACTACACGAACTCAAATTATTCTGGCAAATACATTCTACTTCTTTTCAGCATAATGTTTTGAAACAAACCAGTGATGTACCAGACTTTCCAATACAAACGTTCGCCAACATGCCAATTCAAGCATACACAAATTCTAGACTAGAACCACAGCAGCTATTTAAGGCACAAATCTACAACTACTGAGGGGTCGCCTTCCGGGTCCTACGAGATCGACGGCTGCGGCGTGGTGTTCCTGATGATGGCGCCACTGCAGCCTTGGGTACTTCCGGAACTACTGGCTTGGACTCCCCTGCTGCTGCTCCGTTCTTCTCAGCTACAGAGACCACCTGCAGAGCAAGGCGATGAGGGAGGGACAAGAGGAGTGTGACGGGTTGGAGAAGCAAGAGAGGCGGGAAACGGATCAACCTCCGACAACTCAAGTGATCACGTCTTCTCTCAAGACTCTACATGAATTCGCTGTGGAAGAATGCACTGTAGAGGGCAACCTCAAAAGCTCACCTCAGCTTCCACCACTGCCACCTCCTCCTCCCCCTCTCCCGAAATCTCCGCCCTCAGTTGCTCCAGCCGTGCCTTCTCCCTCGCCGCCTTCTCCTCCGCCGCCCGCGCCGCTTCCTCGGCCGCCCGCTTGGCCGCCCGGCGGGCGGCGTCCGTCTCCTTCTGCTTGCGGAACTGTTCACCGCGCAGCTTCTCTTTGTCCTGTTCTGTGGCTACGACGGAAGAGGCGGCGGAGCGCTTGGCCTGCCCCACGTCGATGATGTCGCCCCCCCCAGCTGCCACCTTGGGCGTGGCGCCGCCCATCTTGCGCAGGTAGATGGTCTGCCCCGTGCTGAGCAGGTTGTTGGTGAACCTGGGGGATGGGGGGGGCGGGGGGGGGGGGAGGAAGGAGGGGGGAGGAGAATGATGGCAACGGGGAAGAAAGGGGTGGAGCGTGTGAGGTGGCGAGTCACCTTGGCCCCAATCTCGCGCAGGTAAATGGTTAGGCCGGTGCTGAGCAGGTTATTCGTGAACCTGGGGGGGATGGTGTGTGAGGGAGGGAGAGGAATGAGTTGGGGGTTGAGCGGAAAGGGGGTGAGGGAGGAATAGGTTTTATGAGTTGACGGGCAATAATGGAATGAGAAACTACTAGTAGACAAGGGAAAGGATGGATGGGGCAGAGAGGGAGAGATATGGTGGTAGCCCTACACAGTTGATGGTAAGCAGTAGAGGGAGAGATGATGGTAACATAACCAGTAGATGGAGAGCCATGGTGGTAACCCTACACAGCTGATGGTGACGTTACCAGTAAAGGGAGAGACCGGAGGGGACTGAGAGGGAGAACCAGCCAATCATGAGAGGCAGGAACTTGAGGATCACTTGTGTGTTCTTCTGTGCTGGGTCCTGGTGATAAGAGACGAGGGTAGGGTGGGTGGGGCAAGTGGCAGAGGGGAAATGCCAGGAGATGGGCAGAGGGGAAGGAAAATAGTAAGTTGGAGCACACAAAAAGCAGAAACTTGAGGATTATTACTCGTGCATTTGAGATGTGTGCATTTGTGATGTGTGCAGTGGTGTGGAGAGCCAGAGAGGGGGGAGGAGCAGAGAAGAGAGCAGCAGGGCAGCGAGCGACAGAGCAGGGAAGAGACATGCCACACCGCGACACTCTTGTCGCTCTGAGGGGGTTCAGATACCCCTCATGACCTGCATGGCGTAGAACTCATTGGTGCTCACACACACGACTGTGTGTGTGTGCTGACACAGACTGCCACACTCACACCAACACACACTCTAACCACACTCACGTCGCTCTGAGGCGTGTTGCATGATCTGCATGGCGTAGAACTTATTGGCACATAAGGACACACCATGGCTCACTTGATGTACACTGGTATACTCACACTGTCACACTCACATTGTCACACTCACACTGTCACACTCACACTGTCACACCCACATTGTCACACTCACACTGTCACACTCACACACCACACTTCAACCACTCACGTCGCTCTGGGGCGGCTGCATGATCTGCATGGCGTAGAACTGCGACGCCACCAGCAGCACCGGCAGCACCAGGTAGGCTGCTGTTGCCTCCCATCCAAGAGGTGGGACCCCGTCCTGTGAGAGGGAGTGAAAAGAGATCGAAGAGGGAGAGAGAGGGGGAGCTATGAGGGGAAGAGCAGAGCACCACTGCCAGCACCAGAATGGTTGCTATCGACTCCCACCAGAGGGGTGGGATCCCGGGGGTGTTTTGAGTCGACTCAAAACACACCTGGATCCCGGGGGGGTGGGATTCCGGGGAAGTGGGATCCCGGGAGGGTGGGATTCCGGGGAAGTGGGATCCCGGGGGGGGTGGGATTCCGGGGAAGTGGGATCCCGGGGGGGTGGGATTCCGGGGAAGTGGGATCCCGGGGGGGTGGGATTCCGGGGAAGTGGGATCCCGGGGGGGTGGGATTCCGGGGAAGTGGGATCCCGGGGGGGTGGGATTCCGGGGAAGTGGGATCCCGGGGGGGTGGGATTCCGGGGAAGTGGGATCCCGGGGAGGTGGGATCCCGTCCTGAGTAAGTATACCTTAGATTGTATGGAATGGAGTGGAGTTGAGAATTGAAAAGGTGAAGGACGTTGAGGATTCAAGGAGCAAGTGAGAATGCTAAGAAAATAAATGATAACTGTTACAATGAATGGGAAAATGCAGAATGAGATTCAACTCACAATGAAGGGGAAGAGCCAAGAGATGCCTGAGCCGCTGTCGCGAGCAGCAATGGAGGTGGGGCCGGCAAGAGAGGGAATCCAGAAGAAACCCTCCGTGAGCACTCCCTGCCATGGGGTTGAAATGGGGGAGGGGAGGTGAGCACGTGGGAGGGGAGAGGATGTGGTGGGGAGTGAGAGATGAACGGACGTGGGGCCGGCAAGGGAAGGGATCCAAAAGAAGCCCTCCGTGTGCACTCCCTGGCATGGGGGGTTAAGGAGGGTAGAGGGACGGGGATGAAGGGAGCATGGGAAGGATGAGAAGGCTGAAAATGCGAGAAGGGATAGGGCTTCAGATGTGGGCTTCAGATGTGGGGCCAGCGAGAGAGAGAATCTGATAGAACCCTCTTGTGAGAATGCCCTCTCATGCAGTTGGCTCGAGCAGTGGAGGGGCCGACGAGGGTTGGGTGGGTTTTGGTTGTGGGGGTTGTGGGGGAGAGAGGGGGGGGGGGGGGGGGGGGGAGAGGATGTTATGGGGTAATGAGTTGGTGGAGGTGCGGATGGGGCTAGCGAAAGAGGGGATCCTCAGGAACTTCATGATGAACACGCCCTATGATGGGGTGGCGTGATGCGGGAAACAGCGGGGGAAGGAAGAGGAACAGAGGGATGGAGGCTTCAGGCGTGTGAAATTGAAACGCCCAAGACAACGCTCTGTAAGAAGACAACGCTCTGTAAGCACTCCTTGTGATGTATGTTAGAGGAAAGAATGGTGTTGACGGGGAGGTGTTGAGGTGATGGAGTGGGATGGGGTGAGGTGGGGTGCGATGTAGTGAGTTTGGCTGGGAGGGGATGAGGTTGTGGTGGGAGGCACGGGATCACAGACGAGCAGAGAGGCTGGCATGGGCAGAAGCCCTTGTACCTCTCTCTAGCCCTCTGAAACGTCTTCTTTACTGTCACATTCTCTAGTCTCACCTCCTTAGCCAAGTTGCGGAGCGCCAGATACAGTCCGATGAAGACCGGCAGAGTGGCTAGCGTGGGCAGGCACCTTCGTATTCCTCTCTTTACAGTCACAGACTATTGTGTCTCACCTCCTTGGCGACGTTGCTGAGTGCCTGGTACAGTCCGATGAAGACTGGCAGAGTGGCTAGCGTCGGCAGGCACCCTGCACGAGGGCACACGTTAAAGAAAAGGGACAACCCGAGAGAACACACAGAACTCGGCTTAAACCTCGCGAGGGAAGTGGGATTATTCTGGCAGAGTAGTTTACCGAATGAATGTCTGAACATTGGTGCAGCACAGCGATGCGTAGGAGCCAACGGGGTGAAACCAACGCCAGGCGCGAGGAGCCTAAGTGTCTAAAAGCTCTAAACGCCGCGAAGCCATCATCAGGGCCAGCTCGGCGGGAGCTAGCGCCTAAGATCCCTGACCCGTGTGCATCAGAAATCTTCGTTGCGGGATCTCAAAACATCTTTGGGTTGAACACAGCAAGCTTTTCTCGTCCTCCGAACCCCAGTTACTCACTTTCCCCCCACCGATTCTTTTTCTGATACATCTTGGTATATTCTGAAAATAACTACTAGAAAAGCATGTTATCCTTACCGGCAAGTGGGTTGACACCAGCCTGCTTGTAGAGACGCGATGTCTCCAGCTGAATGCGCTCCTGATGGCGTCAGAGCGATGTGAGGGAGGGATGGAAGAGGGGAATGGTAAGGTAGAGGGGAAAGTGCGAGGGTAAGCGGGGAAAGCGACGGCAATGCGAACGGGAAAGGTGCGCGCGGAAATTAAGGGGAATGATGCTGTTTGGATAAGCGGAAAACAAAGGTGTGTGGGGGTAGTCGACGGGGGGCGGGGAGGAGGGGAAGTGGGAAAAACGGGGGAAGGGGGGAAGCGGGGTAGGGGGGATGGTGGGGAGGGGGGATGCGCGCGACAAGTACCTGGTCGCCGGCATATTTGGTTTGAATGGCCTTGACCTTGGGCGCGAGGTTCTGCATCGCCATCGTTGACTCCACCTGCGAGGTGAGCACGAGGGGCGGGGGAAACGGCAAAGGAGAGGAATCGCGAGAGAGAGCATTTGAGTTACTGCTTTTGAATGGCCTTGACCTTTGGCGCAAGGTTCTGCATCGCTATCGTTGACTCCACCTGCGAGGGGAGAGCAAAGGAGGGAGAGGTGGAGAGAGGAGAGGTGAGGGAGAGGCGACAGGAAGTGAGAGGGGAGCAGAGAGTGAGAGGGACGGGAGGGGAACGCAAGAGGATATTTTCGTCAACGTGTTTGCTTTCAACGGGTGCGGGGAAATGATTTGAAGATTCCACAAGCGGGAATGAGAAGGGGGGGGGCGAGACTGGTGGAAACAATGAGTGATTGAGTGACTAAATAGGGGGCGAGAAGGAGCACAAAATTCGAGAATACAAGCAACTTCTTTCACAAAACAATCGCGTACCTGCTGCTTGGTGAGCGGGAAGGTGACGACTTTGACGAGCAGCGTGAGCAGGATGATGGAGAACCCGTACGCGTACGGCACGTTCACCGACGCCAGTCCTTGCTCCAACACCTGTCCGGGAGAGGAAGATTGCGAGACACACGCGGGGAGGAGGGGTGGAGCAAGGGATGAAGGAGGCGAGCAAGGTTACAGAGGGGGGTGGGGGGGAAAAGGGGGGGGGGGGGGGGGGGGGGGGGGGTGCCAGAATGATCGAGTGATCGTACGCGTGCGGCACGTTCAGCGACGCCAGACCGTGCTTCAGCGCTTGATGAGGAAAGGATGTTTGCTATATTAGCGGCGACACACGCGAAGAGGAGGGGTGGGGGGGGGTGAAGTAGACACGGAGGGGCAAAAGGGTTTGCGGTTTACGCCGTACACGGGCGTTAGTGAAGGACGTACACGCTGGCTGTAACTATGGCTTGGCGCAGCAGCTGAGTCACGGAGATAGAATTACGCAAGATGCGAGTCGCGAGCGACCGACGACGCGACATGACCGAGTGCCCAGCGCAGACGCTTCTAGATACGCCTATTTCATTAGGACTCTAATAAGTGGCTCAATTTTTCAGCTCGACTATCCAAACTAGTCGACGAGAAGTCGATAGGCCTGTTTGCATCGCACCAATTATCCATAAGTCGATGAAAGTCACTATCAGATTCGGCATCTATTGCCCCCATTCTACCAAAACGAAAAAGGTGACGTTCATTACAGATTGCCTAAACCTGAAAGACATCGAGCCCCCTATATAACAGGTTACAAGTAGTAACGAGTCCCCATGAACCATTGCATGAAGGCATTTGTATGGAAACACAACGCTTACGTCATTTTCCTCTCACCTTCAAGATGCTCTCCAAAACGTTCGCGAGCCCAGCGAACCAGCCTCCATCGGAAGCCGCAGCAGCCGCTGCGTCTCCGCCAGACGCCGCCGCGTCAGCTGCTACAGCCGCCACGGCGGTTGACACGTCAGCGGCCGCGGATGCCGCCGCGTCCGCCGCATCGGCAACGGCGTAGAGGAAATTGTGGGAAGTAAGGGTGGAAATCGCGGCGTCTAAATGCAGCGGATCGAACACGGCCCTAGTGGCAAGGCTAGACCTTCCTGCTCGCTTGCTGAAACGCTGGCCGTGAGATGGGGAAAACCTCAACGGCGCAGATCGTAGTCCTCCGGAAAATCCAGAAGTTGAAGGCTTATTTTTAAGCCCAATTGCGGACTGGGATGTCAGGCTTGCTGACGTGGTCGCCATAGAAAGAACACTATCCATGGCCGAAGAACTCGACTGAACGTTAAGGACAATAGGACACTGCAAGTTCAGCTCGATGAGAGCGTCTGGCAGACTCTACGGCGCGCGTAGCTAAACCAGAACGCAATTGCTATGACACAGGAAAAAGCTGCGTCGCAGCAGCAAGCAGGGAAAAAGCTCCGAAATTGGTTAATCGAAGCCTTATGATAGAACCTTGGGAGCTGTGAGAAATTGGGTGTGCGCGGAAAGGTGCAGAGCAGCAATGCGGAAGGACAGCCTGTTGCGGAACAGAAGGCATCTGTTCCGCACGCTGCCCCGTTTGTTTGTTTCTTCCGCGCTGCACCGCCCACTGCCGCGGAGAATTTGAGATTCCGCGAAAGCTCGGAAAGCATGTTATGATTGGCTGGAATGTTGCACTCTGATTGCGTGATCATCCCAAAGGACACACCCGCGGAATGTTGCGGTCGTGTCCGCTTGAGATTGCACGGGAAGGAAGTAGGGGCTACGTGACATCGACAGCATCGTGCAAGGCTTGTCTGAAGCTGCCACGTAGCAGGAAAGCATCCTGTCAGCACATCCTTGAACCTTTTGACGTAGGCGAAACGCCACCGTGTGAAGGCTCAAATGGGAAAACTTTCTAACTTGTCAGCCTGAACGCAACAGCTTTGTTACATTCGATTTATCTAAGGTCCATAATATTATGATGGTGATTTTATATTATTATTATTATTGAAGAAGTATACACCGCAAACACAGATGCATACTAAGACAATATCGGTCGTAACTGTACGTGAGCGAACAGAGGCTGTCTGCTCCAGCGAGTAATCTACGGTGGGTTAAACACTGTCCTCGGATTGGTCCAGATGGACTCAAAGTCACCAATCCACGTCCGCTTCTTCTCTCCTGCCAGCCGTATCTTACACATCACCCGATGCTCCTCCAAAAGACTCTTGCTGAAGCTACCCTCCTGCACCGATTTCTTTTTCTTTTGCCACGCTGTCAAGCGTGCTTTCATGTACACCCTCGTATGCAAACGGAAAGCGAAAAGGATTCTCCTCAGCATTCGGCGCGCTCTGGATTTGCGCCCCCTGAAGACAGCTTCGCACCGCTCCAGTAAAATCTAATGCAGCGTGATTTCGATGAGATTCGTTTCCGCGAAAGCTATAAACTGTGCGGAAGAGTAGGTCCTCCATGGAATCCGTGACCCGTCGTGGATTCCGAATGCGGAGGGCACGTTTCAGCGCAACAATCATTGTTTGGATCCACAGGCAGGTAAAGAGACAATGCTCCAGCATCTCCTCGTCATTGCAGTGTGGGCAAAGAGGTTTGTCGCTGAGAAAGGTGTCAGAGGTCCACTGGTGATCCCCGATTGATCATAGGGAAGGGATACAGGCATGTTGGCTTGGGGGGTTATGGGCGCACTGACCCGCTATTTAACAAGCCCTTTTATCCCAATGGTCTAGCGGTTGAGATTCTGACATAGTATCAGAGCGAAGGTCTCGGGTTCGAATCCCAGTATGTGCACTTCGGGCATTCCAGTGCAGGGGGGTGTCAGAGGTCCACTGATGATCCACGATTGATCCTAGGGAAGGGATACAGGCATGTTGGCCTGGGGGGTTATGTGCGCACTGACCCGCTACTTAACAAGCCCTTTTATCCCAATGGTCTAGTGGTTGGGATTCTGACAAAAGGCGAGTCTTTCTCCCACATAGAGGTTGAAGTTATACACCCATGTTAGGACGTCTTTCGGTCTCCTGGGAGTGACCAGAGACTCCTGAATGCCCAAAATCTTTTTCTAGTTTATTGAGCTGCTCCACCTGCATGCCCTGCACAACATCCAATGTGATTGCGCGCGCTTCCCCTCCTAATGCCCCCGCATTCTCTTCTGCGAAATCACTCCCCCGTTCTCCATAATTGGGATGAGCGGGAGGGCCGCTTCCTCCTTTGAACCCCAGCCAACCGAGTTCATGCAAGGGGGTCAGCAGCACCTCCCTCCATTCTCAGGGTGCTGCTGCGAAAGCCTTCAACGCGAGCTTGGCAGGTCCCTTCCCACCAAGCTACTCCGTGAGCTTCGCCATGGATTTCTGCTCCCAGCTACCGTCTTGTTGCTGCTTCACCAGGTCGCCCAGCACACAGTCCCACAGCTGCTCTGCATGCTTTTGTCCGCCCACCGGAGCTGTTACTCTCATCATGATAGCTCGATTGAAGACCGGCTTCTCCTTTGCGACCTCCTCTCTCGTGATCTCCACTATCCGTACGATGAGGGGCAATTTTATATAGATTTCGCACGTCTATTTCCAGCGTTGACTCCTCCCTTCCCAGTGTCGAAGGAGGCGGTCGTGCGAGGTGAAGGTATCCAGCTTTAGCGGGAGATCTGCCGCGCGCACCATCAGTTCCCTCTTAAGTTGATCTTCTTCCGTCATCAGCAGCCCAACTCGCCTGGCGGCCAGGCACGCGAGTGTTACGCTCGGGTCATGAATTCCCAGTCCGCCGTCCAACCTCGGGGTGTAAAGCAACTCCTTGCTCCACAGCAGAAAGACCTTTGTGGGTGTTGCCTTATTACCCGATACAAAATTATGTATTAACTTCTAAAGCTCCTTCCATATTTTTGTAGATGGCGGGTACACTTGCACCCAAAAGGTCATCATCGGCTGGAGATAGTGATTCGCCACCGCCCCTCTCGCCTTCTCGCCTTCCATCTCGTCAAGCGCTTAATAATCTCCTCCAATGCCTTCTCCTAGGTGGGGAGACCGCTGCCATCTAGGGTTACCCACACCCCCAATAACCTCTCTGCCTCATGCGGCTTCGCCCATTTAAACTCTCCTCCGTTTGAAGCTCCGAGGTTTAGACCCAAGGGTAATACCACCGTTTTTTCTTTGTTAGTCGAGAGACCAGACTGCTGCTTAAACTCATCTAACAGCTTCTCCGCCTTGTCAATCTGCTCCCTCCCCTGCAATGATAAAGTTGTGTCGTCTGCATATCCGAGATATGCAAGACGTTGTTCGGGGGTGTCCAGTCCCAAACAACTCCTCTCCACCTTCTGCACCAGAGGCTCTACATCACACAGAAAGAGGTATGGTGCTAGTGGACAGTGTCAGAAGATATAGCTTTTGCATATTGTGTAGGCTATAGTGGGGTAGCCCATAAGGGGTACAACCCAATAAGGGTTAGTACTTGTACTCACTTCATTCATAGTTCATTCATTCATTGCTCAACTTTTCTCATGGTATCGAGCAGGTTCCCCTGTGGGAACTGTGCGTAGGGCCCACCATTTCGATTTTTTTTTTTCCGCCCGAAGCGCGCTCATCCCGAGTCGCGCCTCGGGCTATTAACTCGACGAGCCGCCCTAGCGGCCTTCCCTCCCCTAGCGGCCCTGCCGCCCTACCTTCGCGGCCCCGCCGCCCTCCTTTAGCGACCCCACCGCCCTACCCTTCCTTAGCGGCCCCGCCGCCCTACACTTGGCGGCCCCTGCCGCCCTTCACTTCGCGGCCCCGCCGCCCTGCTTTCGCGGCCCCGCCGCCCTACACTTCGCGGCCCCGCCACCCTGCTGTAGCGGCCCCGCCGCCCTTCCTTAGCGGCCCCGCCGCCCTTCACTTCGCGGCCCCGCCGCCCTACACTTCGCGGCCCCGCCGCCCTGCTTTAGCGGCCCCGCCGCCCTGCACTTCGCGGCCCCGCCGCCCTTCACTTCGCGGCCCCGCTGCCCTACACTTCGCGGCCCCGCCGCCCTACTTGTAGCGGCCCCGCCGCCCTGCTTTAGCGGCCCCGCCGCCCTTCTTTAGAAGCCCCGCCGCCCTTCTTCACGGGCCCCGCCGCCCGACTCTACCGGCCCCGCCGCCCTTCTGCTGCGGCCCCGCCGCCCTACACTTGGGGCCCCGCCGCCCGTCTGCTGCGCCACCCGAGCCGCCAACCGCCACACCACCCTGTAGCACGCACCCGAGCAGCCGACCGCCGCGCCGCCCAGTACCGGAGGAGCCGAGCCGCCCAGCCGCCGAGCCGCCCGGCCGCCCACCAACCGAGCCGCCGTGCAGCCGGGCGCCCAGCAGCCGAGCCGCTGTGCAGCCGCGCCGCCCAGCAGCCGAGCCGCCGAGCCGCCAAGCCGCCGAGCAGCCGAGCCGCCCAGCAGCCGAGCCGCCCCGCAGCCGAGCCGCCGAGCCGCCCTACAGCCGAGCCGCCCGACCTGCCCTGTCCGGTGAGCACAGCCCCGCTGTCACTGCGTGCCCTTCCCCTACTGCTTGCACTGCTAGTCTATCGTCGTCATGGCTACCCCTAGTGTCCTCGCTTTTGACGCTGAGGGTTGAGCCATCGACTTTGAGGTCTGGGTCGACGACCTGCAGCTGTTCTTACAGTGCGATAGGGCGGACGGTCTTTCTCTCTTTGACCTCACCTCTGGCGCCTCTCCTGCCCCTCCTGCTGATGCTGACCCCACTGTTCGCTCTTAGTGGGCCACCCGCGATGCTGCTGCACGTCTTGCTGTGGGTCGCCACCTGCCTACCACTGAGCGCGCGCACTTTGGTCAGTACAAGAGTGCTCGGACCTTGTACGACGCTGTAGTTGCGCGCTACTCTTCCCCTGCCACTGCTGCACTGAGCCGCCTCATGCTACCGTACCTCTTTCCTGACCTTGCTGCCTTTCCCACAGTCGCTGACCTCATTACGCACCTCCGCACTAGTGACACTCGCTACCGCGCCGCGCTTCCTGCTGAGTTCTGCGCCAAGAACCCCCCCACCATGTACATCACTCTCTATTACATAGTCACACGCCTCCCTGACTCCCTTCGCGTAGTCAGGGACCACTTCCTCTCAGACTGTCCCACCACTCTCACTGTCGACCTCCTCGAGAAGGCCCTCCTGGCGGCGGAGAAGAGCATCGTCCCTGTAGGAGCCTCTCGTGGTGACCCTCGCACCCCGATCTTTGAGGGGTGTTCTCCTTCCCCCCTGCTGCCCTTTGTTGCCTTTGCTGCTGCTGCCGACCTGCTTGGTCTTGAGTCGGTCGGCGCGGCGTCTGCCCCTAGCTGGAGACGC